CCGCTTCCCGGGATCGGCATCCGGCCACCTCTCAGCTCTCCGGGGCAATTCCCTCCTCCCAAAAACCATTACCTGCCTGTCCCTGTCTGCTCCACGGTCCGCCCTCCTCTCCCGGGCCACCCCTCCAGGAGGTGGTGTCACCTTTGGATGGGTCTCAGGGGGGTAGGGATGGGCACCTGGAATATAACGCTGGATGCAGCCGAGGATCACCCAGGGCTGGACCCCGGGGCTGGGGGCTGCCACGGGACCCTCATGCAAGAGAGGGTCCCCTCAGTGTGGCACAGTGCCCTGGGCACCATCCCGGCCGTGAGTGACTGGCAGCACCTCCCGGACCCCTCCTGCTGCATTTTGGCCCCGTCAAGGCCGTTTTTGTGGGGCATTGTGGCCACCTGGCTGCAGGAGCAGCGGGACCAGCATCCCCTGAAGTCCCTGGGGCTCCCCGGAGCGGGGGTCGAGTGTCTTTGCTTTATTTGTTTAATTAAAACCAAGGCAAGTAGGGCGGCGCAGGGGGCCCAGCCGTCGGGAGCCGGCACCCTCCACAAAGTGATTCCCTGGGGAAGCCCGGTGGTCGGTGGCCAAGCGGGACCACGGGACAGCCGGGTGAGTGTCCCCTGCACTGCACTTCGGGCTCATCCCCTCTCCCCTTTTCCCTCCTTCTCCTCATCCCACCGGGCTGTGCGGTGATCCCGTAGGGGCTGCCCCAACCCCAGCCCACCAAACCCTCTCCTCCACCTCTCCACACCCAGGTCTCGGGCTTTCCCGGCAGCAGGACCACCCCGGAGGACTCGGCCACACAGAGGCCCCTCCTCTGGTCCCCCCCGGGGTCGCTCCCGGCCGTCCCCGGGGCAAAACATCTCCCGTGCGGCGCCTTTTTAGCCGCGGAGGGTCCCTGCGCTCCGGACGAGCCTCATCCCTCGGTGCCAAGGGCAGCCTGGCCTCCTGGGTGCCTGTTTTCCCCCGGTGAAGACATGGCCCCTTCCTCCTTCTCCTCCTCCTCATCCTCCTCCTCGCGGGCCGGGGCTCCGGGAGGCAGGAGCCGGCTCCGTCGGCTCCGCGCGTAAGGATGTGTCCGCCCGGGAATCCACCACGGTGTCGGCACCCAGGTGAGTGCCCCCGGCTCTCGGCCCAGCCCCGGCACAGGGGGGTCTCAGCAGCGGGGGGAAAGGCGCCGGGGGGGCTGCAGGAGCAGCCCGGGGCCCATCGGATGCCCACGGGGGAGAGCGGTGGTGAGCGCACGGGCGATGCCGGGCGAGCAAGCTGGTTGGAATAAAGGATTGCTAAAGACACCGACCCGGTGGGCTTCTTTCCGCTGCCAACTCTCCTCTGCTCTTGTCTCGCCCGCCCAGGCTCCCTCCCTCCCCCGGTGCTGGAGCTGCTCTGAGCCCAGAAGCCCCTTCCCATCCCCAAACGGGCCTTCCCGCCTCGCTTCCTCCCTCAGACGTAGGAGACTGTCAGGTTACGGCCTCCGGGGGGGGCTGGGGCAGGGCCCCCCTCGCTGCTGGCTCCAGGAGGGATGCTCCTGTCTGGCACAGTGGGATGCTGGGGGGGCTGGTGCCGCTTGCTGCTGGTTCCCACTCCCCAAACCACCACCCCGCGGGGAGGGGGAGCGAGGGGGAAAAAATGGGATGTGGAGCATCTCGGGAGGGGGGGTGTGCTGAGACATCGGTGACAGGGACCCTGGGAACGTGGTGGGATGGGAGGTCAGCTCGGCCAGCAAGGGGTGATCCCGAACCCCTCCACTGCCATTCCCAGACTGGACACCCCCAGGAACCCCCGCAAAGCCCACCCTCATCCTCCCAGAGCCAGCCCCGCGCCTCCTCCTCCTCTTCCTCCCCGCAGAGCCGCTCGCCCCGGGCTGCCGAGGGGGCTCCCGGGGTGTCCCCCTCGCTGCTGCTTCCCCGGCTGCCGCTCCGCATGTCCCCCCGCCCCCGCGCCCCCCGCCGCCCCCGCGCCCCCATCGCTCCCCCCCTTCTCTCCCTCTCTCTTTGCAGAGAAGAAGCAGCAGCTGCAGCCCCCGAAATCTCGCCCGCCCGGCCTGAAGTTCCGCCTGCAGAAGCGGCTGCGGGGCCCGTCCTGAGCCGCTCCCTCCTCTCCATCTTTCTCAGGAACGCCGCGGCCCCGGAGCCGTGCGGGAGCACGGCGGGACCGAGCCGAGCCGTGCCGCCGGCCCCCCGGCAGCCTTTTGCTTGACAGAACTGGTTGTTGACCTTATTTTTAATTTTTTTTTTTTTTTTTTTTTTTTTTTTTTTTTTTTTTTTTTTTTTTCAAACCCCCCCCCCCTTTTTTTTTTTTTTTTTTTTTTTTTTTTTTTTAATTTTTTTTTTTTTTTTTATTTCCAAGCACCCCATCCCCTTGTTTTTTTTTGTCGTTTACCAGCTGACCTTGGTGTTTTTTTTTTCTTCCCCCCACCCCACCCCTCCGATTTTTACCGTGTCTGTGACATCTCCTATCGATGAGTAAAGAGGGACCTCCCGCGTCCTGGTCTTTTCTTGTGCACCTTTGGTTGTCACTGTGTGTTTTTCTGCCTCCCCCCTCACCCCGTCCGTCCCAGCAGCAGGTAATGGTGGCACCCATGGGTGAGCCCACGGGAGAGGAGGACCCATCCCATCCCTGGATGGGGCTGGATTTGGGAGCAGGACGCTGGAGCTCTGCTTGCTGCTGGCCGTGGGCGCTTGCTTGGCTGGGTGCTCGGCGGAGGGCGTGGGGCTGGGGGGCCGGGGCGCCGTGCCAGGCTGGAATACCCCATTCCAGGGTTTTCCCACCCTGCTCAGTGATGCCTCTGCTCTCTCCCAGACAAGGATGAGTGCTCCAAGAACAACGGGGGCTGCCAGCACGAGTGCCTCAACTCCTTCGGCAGCTACGAGTGCCAGTGCCGCAGCGGCTTCGTGCTGCACGACAACAAGCACGACTGCAAGGAAGGTGGGTCCAGCCCGCACCCCGTCCCTGTGGGACGCCCCCATTCCATGCTTCTGTGACCCTTTCCGTTGTCCTGCCAGCCGGCTGTGACCACAAGGTGACATCCATCTCCGGGACCATCACCAGCCCCAACTGGCCCGACAAATACCCCAGTAAGAAGGAGTGTACCTGGGCCATCAGCACCACGCCGGGGCACCGCGTCAAGCTGGTAGGGACTGGGGGGTGGGAAGTGCTGGGGTGCCCTCCACCGAGCCCCACTGAGCGCCAGCAACTCCATCCGTCACCTTCCACAGACCTTCTCGGAGCTGGACGTGGAGGCGCAGCAGGAATGCGCCTACGACCACCTGGAGATCTACGACGGGAAGGACGCCAAGGCCCCGGCGCTCGGCCGCTTCTGCGGGGCCAAGGAGCCCGAGCCCATCGTCTCCTCGGGCAACAAGATGTTCCTCAAGTTTGTCTCCGATAACTCTGTCCAGAAGAAGGGATTCGAGGCCACCCACACCACAGGTAGAGCCGTGGGGCTGGGAAATGTGGCTGTGGGGTGTGGGGAGATCATTAATGCCCCTAAACCCCGGCTTCTCCCCCAGTGTGTGGGGGCCAGGTCCGCGCCGAGGTGAAGACCAAGGACTTGTATTCCCACGCACAATTCGGAGACAACAACTACCCGGGGGGCTCGGACTGCGAGTGGGTGATCATGGCGGAGGAGGGGTTCGGCGTGGAGCTCATCTTCCAGACCTTTGAGATCGAGGAGGAAGCCGACTGCGGATACGACTACATGGAGCTCTTCGACGGCTACGACGGGACGGCCCCGCGCCTCGGCCGCTTCTGCGGCTCCGGGGTGAGCTGGGGAGGAAGGGGGATGTGATGAGGGGTTGGATTAGCGTTAGGGTTGGGATTAGGGAAGGTTAGGGCGGTGTGAGGGTGTAGGGTGATGGGTGAGGCCGAGCCAGAGCAGCGCGGAGAAATCCCCGTCGGAATTCAGGATGGTGCAATGATTTGCACCCTCCCCATAGCAAACCCCTTCCCTCCCACCATGCCCACACATCCCGGGAATGCCCACGGATCTGAGCACCCCTTCCTTTGCCCTCGCAGCCCCCCGAGGAGATCTACTCGGCCGGAGACTCCGTGATGATCCGCTTCCACTCGGACGACACCATCAACAAGAAGGGTTTCCACCTTCGCTACACCAGCACCAAGTTCCAGGACACTCTGCACACGAGGAAATGAGGGCCGGGGGTCCCGGCCCCCCCCCGCGGGCAGGGGAGGAGGAGGAGGAGGGCAGGGAGGAAGGCGGGGAGCGCTGCTGCCCCGCACAGACTGCACGGAGGAGGAGCACACAGCCAACCTCAGCACTCAAGACACGCTCGCATGGGGCGCCGGGGCTCGGGCGCCCACGGCACGGGGGGCACTGGGGGGGTCCCCACTGGCAACCACCCACCCCGGTGCTGGGGGGGGCCGAGCGGGACCCGCTGCCCTTTCCTGCCCCGGCCGAAGCTCTGAATGTACAAACCAGTAACCGGGAAGAGCCCAAAACACACACAAGGTGCTGTCTCTCTCTTG